ACCAGTACCAAACCTCCGGTTCGGCGGGCCGCGGGAGCGCGGCATTGCTGTGTCGCAAATAGCGACCAGCGTCTCCCAGAACCACCGAAATTCCGCCCGGAGGTTTCGCGGCTCGGCCGGTGGCTTGGCCACCTGAGCAGCGGCGGACAGGAGTTGTGGGTCCAGTTTCCTGAGGACCCACTCCTGGGACAGGGGTCTTCTCGCTCTACGGCAGCCCCGAAGGCGGTCAAGAGAGTACAGAGACCTTCATTGTGATGTACCGATGATCCGATAGGGTCTCCATGTCGTCCCTGACTCTCCATTCGGACACACGGCGGACGGCGCTCGGGAAGGCAAAAGCCAGGTCCACAATAGACCCCTCGTTGCGCCTGAAGCACGTGTGCTGTGAGCCCCGGTTTAGCACGATGAGCCCACAGGCTGCTGCGCAGTTCTTTAGAGCTCTTCCCCTCGCGTTCTGGGGGAACCTTAAGTCACCGACTTGGAGTTTAAGTCCCCTAGGACCAGTACTGGACGAGCCGAGTATCGGCGAGCAACCCGACTCAGCTCGTCCAAGAACGTTTCAAACTCGGAGAAGGACCTTGTTGGCGAGAAAAGACCCTCACAACCACAAGTTCCCCTCACTCGATCACCATGAGCCCCCTGCCTTTTTCCAGAGGAGAGAAGACAGAGGACTCAGAATTACCCCCTCAGAATTAACCCCTCCACGGAAGTATGTTGCGACAGAGCCGTCCTCCGACTCCGACCACGACGGGTGGTCGGGGACGTTGTAGGGCTCTGCCATGACCGCGGCAGCTCCGTTTAACTCTGCGAGGCTTTGGATCATAAGATCCTGAGCCCCGCGGGAATGATTCATATTATCCTGGAGGACAGTCATTATTGAGTGGGTGGCTCCTCCACCTCCATCCCCTCCTCGAGGGCACTACTGGTGGAGGGCTGGCTAGCCCCCTCCGCTGCCGCCGATTTCCCAGGGACGGCAGTTGCGATTTCCTTGGAGGCGGGCTGTGGCCTTCAGCGGTGGCCTTCTGCGCTCTTTGTTTCCTCTTACGAGGAATTGGAGCGCAGGCCTTACCGCTTAGTCTGTGGGCCGCGGGGCGACCAAGGTCGGCGCATAGCGGACACTTCGGCCCTGACTTACATTCCGCGACCCGGTGGCTACGGTCACCGCACCGGTAGCACCGGCCCCTCCTGTCCTAATCCGGCGAGGTGTAAGTGCACGTTGCCATGACGTGCCCTCGCCGAAGGCATCGGTGGCACTGTAAGGGCCGGCGGTCTAGGACCTCTACCGGCGCTCGCACCCACCCTACTCTCAGGAATCCAGTGTCCGTGATCTTTGCCGCAGCAATCGGACACTGGATCCATGCTGTGAATAATCTATTGGGGGAAGCGCGAGCTCGGCCGACCTTTACTTCGGTCAACCGACAACCCCCAATAGCTAACCTTTACTTCATCTGATTGAGTCATCGAGGTCTTTGACCCGAAGCTCACAAGTCTTAATCGGCCTCGCGATTTTCACCCCAGATTCCTTCGCCAGAGTGGACATTGCGGCACAAAGCCTGTCCGCTCTGGCCTTGCTGTTTTTACCGGGAATCTCAATGGGTGCGTTCAGACAACTCAACGGTTGAGAGATCATCACTTATGATAGGACTATTCTTCAAAATCTGCTGCGATTTCAAAAGTATGATCCAATTAGAAGTGATTATTACTCAACTGTTGTGCAACTGTTGAATTGTCTGAACGCACCCAATGATGAGGGCCCCGGTGACGGCCTTTTTTGGTCGGACCTCGGTGATACCGAAGTCCGACAAATTTATTTACTTCCTCATCTTGGCCAGCGCCTCCCCAACGTTCACACCGGAGCCGGTGAGGGGAGACAATGTGATGGCCGCGGATCGAGGAGGCTTCCCCACATTAAGTTGGTGCTTGACGCTTCTAGTTCAAAATATTCCGTTCTTTATATTACACAAAATGTACTTTTAACTTTAAATATGATTAATATATTTGAAGAATTGATAACACATTTATATGATCAAAACTTTTTAACATGTCAGAATAAATTTAATTAAAAGTATTATAATAAAATATGTACAGACAAGAGATCTTTTTTTATTGTAAAACAGAATAATAAGAATATTAATGTAAGCAAGAGACATTTTTATAATAAAGTAATATTATTTGCAGAACAGTAAATTATGTTTATAAGTCATTTTTTTTATTTACTTATTTATTTATCTATATTTATTAAATGTTATAAATATCTATAATATAATATCTATAATTAATATTTATTAAAGTTTGTTTTTTTGTTAGTTTTTTAAGTAAATATGTTTCTTAGATTTCTTAAAATATCATTCTGAGCATTATTCCATCAAAGTATTGTGAAGTTCTAACAGATGGCAGTACTAGTGGCCCATATAAACATGGCTAACTAAGCTTCATCTTTTTTCGACAACGCTCCCTTCTTTATCTCCATGGTACCGACCTGAAGCCCAAACCAGAGAGAAGCCTGAGAGCGGCCATGCCATTGTAGTTTTTTACGACGGTTTCAGCCGCTGGTTTTAGCCGTATTTCCACAAAAGTGGAACTCAAAG